GTTTAGACCAGATCCTGCTTGTCCTATGAGTCCGCCTGCAGCTCAAAGGTGGAAGTGTTCTTGCTGCTGTGTCTGGAACGCCTGTTCGGCCACCAGTGCCGCCGACGTCCACTTTGGGCGCGGACCAACTGCAGCACACGCGGCTCCAAATGTGGGGTCGAACAATCCAAGCAATTTTGGCTTCGCTTGAGTGGCCCCCCTCTGTTCTCTCATGTCTATCACTTCCACCGGCAAGCTGTCTGTTGGAAATTCTTGTTCTTGGAGAATGATTTTTCCAGATTGGATGCTTGCCTGTGGGCGGATCGCCTGAACGTACGGACTTGGGTTTGGGCCCCAGAATAGGAATTCGTGACCCCAAAATAGGGGCCGCCAAGCGACCCCGATTTTGGGGTTCTCTAGTTGCCAGTCAAAATATGTTAAAGGAGGTTGGCTGCATTTCGCGGCTCCTTTTCTGAGGCCGCAAGACGGCCCCAGTTTTGGGGTCGCAAGTTTGATTCCTGCACCCACAGTCTCGTCAGCTGCGCATGTCATTGATTGTATTGACTTTGGGGAGCGTCTGGTGGAGGACCGTTTGGAAGGTCGGAACTTGTCCAAAGTAGCTTTGTGCTCGCCCTTAAAAGTGCTGCAGCCAGCGGAATGCAACTGTTCTCTCATGTCTATCACTTCCACCGGCAAGCTGTCTGTTGGAAATTCTTGTTCTTGGAGAATGATTTTTCCAGATTGGATGCTTGCCTGTGGGCGGATCGCCTTGATGTAGCAGTTTGGAACGTACGGACTTGGGTTTGGGCCCCAGAATAGGAATTCGTGACCCCAAAATAGGGGCCGCCAAGCGACCCCGATTTTGGGGTCCTCTAGTTGCCAGTCAAAATATGTTAAAGGAGGTTGGCTGCATTTCGCGGCTCCTTTTCTGGGGCCGCGAGACGGCCCCATTTGTGGGGTCGCAAGTTTGATTCCTGCACCCACAGCGGCTGAATCTCGTCAGCTGTGCATGTCATTGATTGTATTGACTTTGGGGAGCGTCTGGTGGAGGACCGTTTGGAAGGTCGGAACTTGTCCAAAGCAGCTTTGTGCTCGCCCTTAAAAGTGCTGCAGCCAGCGGAATGCAACTGTGGAGGGCCGACCTGGCGAAGCCAGAATTGCTTGTGTTTTGCGGGCCTTAAAATGGGGTCGCCCGACAGCCTCATAACTGTGCATCTTTGAGATCGTACAAAGACAGGGAAATTGTTGCAGAGGTGACTCTGCATTTCTGAACAGAGCAGATCAAGCCATGCAGAGTTATGGTATCGAGAAGGTCGGCCGGAACAGATCATACAAGAGCGGCGGAATTTCCTGGAAGGTATCTCCACCAGATCTGAACAGGACTTCTTGAGCTGTGCAGAGTTATGGTATCGAGAGGTGTGGCTGACGGTTCGGAATTTGTGCACGGTTCTTAACTCCAAAACCCCCTCATGCACGACATGGGCTCACCTGGCTCTCGCCAGATTTTTTTTGCTCTTTTAGCAGAGACCCATTTGCAAATTTCTTGCCTCTGCCTTGCATTTGCTGCCAGACCGGTTGTTGCGTTCCCTCAAAAAGAACAGTTCGAACTAGCAGAGACCCATTTGCAATTTCTTGCCCCTGCCTTGCATTTGCTGCCAGACCGGTTGTTGCGTTCCCTCAAAAAGAACAGTTCGAACTGCACTTTTCTCTCGCTGTCAGACAGTTTGCAACCTCTACTCAATTTCCCTTTTTTGCTCTTTGATTCCAATTCCTCGTGTAATCGAGTCTTTCTTTCTTCATGGTTTGCGTGTCTCTTTGCGCATGAGGGTGCATGCCGGCTGTCAACAAACCCCGGCTTGCTCAGCAAATATCCCCGCACCCCGCGCAACACAGACCCGTCTCCTCCCCCGCACACAGGCCCGTGGTGGTTTCTGAATTTCTGGAAACATGTGGACTAGCAGGACGCTGTTTGTGTCAACTGGCATTTGATTTTTGGTGTTTTTCAGTCTGCTTCAAACTGTTAGAAGTGCTGCTTGAGTCAGATTACTGACCACACTCATTTTGTCTCGTTTCCTTTCGTATGCTGTCAGCTCAAGAAACAAATCGAGTGCTGCACACTCTTTTTTTTTGGTAGCAGACTTCTGAGAGCTGTCAAGCGCCGCAGCTCACCCGTACAAGGTTGGAGTTGAAGGTTCTCCCAGAAGGTACCTGTGCCGAGAAAGACATGGACTTTGACTTGTTTAGACGAGATCCTGCTTGTCCTATGAGTCCGCCTGCAGCTCAAAGGTGGAAGTGTTCTTGCTGCTGTGTCTGGAACGCCTGTTCGGACACCAGTGCCGCCGACGTCCACTTTGGGTGCGGACCAACTGCAGCACACGCGGCTCCAAATGTGGGGTCGAACAATCCAAGCAATTTTGGCTTCGCTTGAGTGGCACCCCTCTGTTCTCTCATGTTTATCACTTCCACCGGCAAGCTGTCTGTTGGAAATTCTTGTTCTTGGGAATGATTTTTCCACACTGGATGCCTGCCTGTGGGCGGGTCGCCTTGATGTAGCAGTTTGGAACGTACGGGCTTGGGTTTGGGCCCCAGAATAGGAATTCGTGACCCCAAAATAGGGGCCGCCAAGCGGCCCCGATTTTGGGGTCCTCTAGTTGCCAGTCAAAATATGTTAAAGGAGGTTGGCTGCATTTCGCGGCTCCTTTTCTGGGGCCGCGAGACGGCCCCAGTTTTTGGGGTCGCAAGTTTGATTCCTGCACCCACAGCGGCTGAATCTCGTCAGCTGCGCATGTCATTGATTGTATTGACTTTGGGGAGCGTCTGGTGGAGGACCGTTTGGAAGGTCGGAACTTGTCCAAAGCAGCTTTGTGCTCGCCCTTAAAAGTTCTGCAGCCAGCGGAATGCAACTGTGGAGGGCCGACCTGGCGAAGCCAGAATTGCTTGTGTTTTGCGGGCCTTAAAATGGGGTCGCCCGACAGCCCCATAACTGTGCAGCTTTGAGATCGTACAAAGACAGGGAATTTTTCCAGAGGTGACTCTAGCATTTCTGAACAGAGCAGATCAAGCCATGCAGAGTTATGGTATCGAGAAGGTCGGCCGGAACAGATCATACAAGAGCGGCGGAATTTTCTGGAAGGTATCTCCACCAGATCTGAACAGGACTTCTTGAGCTGTGCAGAGTTATGGTATCGAGAGGTGTGGCTGACGGTTCGGAATTTGTGCACGGTGCTTAACTCCAAAACCCCCTCATGCACGACATGGGCTCACCTGGCTCTCGCCAGATTTTTTTTGCTCTTTTAGCAGAGACCCATTTGCAAATTTCTTGCCTCTGCCTTGCATTTGCTGCCAGACCGGTTGTTGCGTTCCCTCAAAAAGAACAGTTCGAACTAGCAGAGACCCATTTGCAATTTCTTGCCTCTGCCTTGCATTTGCTGCCAGACCGGTTGTTGCGTTCCCTCAAAAAGAACAGTTCGAACTGCACTTTTCGCTGTCGGAGGTTGCACCTCTACTTCAATTTCCCTTTTTGCTCTTTGAGTCAATTCCATCGTGTAATCGGAGTCTTTTATTGCTTCATGGTTGCGTGTCTCTTTGCGCAGGAGGTGCATTCGGCTGTCACAAACCACAGGCGTTGCTCAGCAATTCCGCACCCCGCGCAACACAGACCCGTCTCCTCCCCCGCACACAGGCCCGTGGTGGTTTCTGAATTTCTGGAAACATGTGGACGAGCAGGACGCTGTTTGTGTCAACTGGCATTTGATTTTTGGTGTTTTTCAGTCTGCTTCAAACTGTTAGAAGTGCTGCTTGAGTCAGATTACTGACCACACTCATTTTGTCTCGTTTCCTTTCGTATGCTGTCAGCTCAAGAAAAAAATCGAGTGCTGCACACTCTTTTTTTTTGGTAGCAGACTTCTGAGAGCTGTCAAGCGCCGCAGCTCACCCGTACAAGGTTGGAGTTGAAGGTTCTCCCAGAAGGTACCTGTGCCGAGAAAGACATGGACTTTGACTTGTTTAGACCAGATCCTGCTTGTCCTATGAGTCCGCCTGCAGCTCAAAGGTGGAAGTGTTCTTGCTGCTGTGTCTGGAACGCCTGTTCGGCCACCAGTGCCGCCGACGTCCACTTTGGGTGCGGACCAACTGCAGCACACGCGGCTCCAAATGTGGGGTCGAACAATCCAAGCAATTTTGGCTTCGCTTGAGTGGCCCCCCTCTGTAAGCCCAAATCCTAAATCCTAAATCCCAGAACCCTTTAGCACCTAAAGCCTGTACAACCCAGGCCGTCAGGACAAAACGGTGCAAATGACATCCTTAGCCCCTCTCAAGAAATCTTCTAAAGCTCCATGAAGCACTGGATTCACTGGATTATGCACGGAATCCCTAAACCCTAACTCCTAATCCCTGAACCCTATACTCTAAATCAACTGGGCTTTAGGAAAACCCTGAGACTACCAGCTCTATATATCAGCAATATACCTTAAATCATACAGGGACCCTTAATGGTACATACTCCTGTTAGACCTCTCAGAACCCTAAGGACCCTGCAAAAACCAGACAAAACCTAGGTTGAGGGGTTAGGGGCTCGGGGCAACCTACTAAACCCCAAATCCTAGACCCTGCTTCCTAAACCCTAAAGCCTACAACCCTAAAACTCTAAACTCCCAAACCCGTAGCCCTAGACCCTAAGTCCTAAAACCCTAAATCCTAAAGCCCTACAACCCTGCTAAACTGGAAGGAACCCTTATAGATCCCTTTAAAGGAACCCTTAAAGGAGCCCCTTAAAGGAAGCCTTATAGGTCCCTAAACTTGAAGGATCATGGGACTTAGAAACTAGGGCTATAAATAAGATAACTATACTTATGACTACTAATAACCCCAATTAGGGGTACTTGTAACCTTACTAACTAAGTCCTCAGATCCTCCAAGTAATTAAACTTGTACCCTAAACGCTGAAGTCTAAACCCTAAAACCCTAAACCCTAAAGCCCCACAACCCTAAAGCCCTACAACCCCGCTAAACTTGAAGGGAGCCTCCAAGGTCCACTCCAGCGTCAGTCGCCGGGCAGCCATTTTCTCGAGGCTCTGGGTGTCTTCCTCCACGGTTTAGTTTCGAAGTTCAGGGTCTTAAATACCCAAAGGCTCCATGTACGTTTAAAGTAGCTATTTAGGCCTTAAAGGGGTCCCTATATACGTACTTTAAAGCCTAAGCATCTACTATGTGGGCACATGGAGCCTTAGGGATAGGGTTCTTCAAAACCATCTTTTTACAAACCCTCCACGGTTTAGTTTCGAAGCTTTTGGTCTGAAGGTTTGGTGTGGACGTCTTCCGCCCAAGGCAAGTAGACGGGTGTCTACAGATTGGCTGTAACCTACTGATCCGGTATCATGGGGAACTAAAGCTTAACCTTTTTGGCGATATAGGGATTATATAGGGACTCTACCACCCGAAAAAAGGTTAAAGGTCGCCTACTCTACTGCTCGGGTAGCAGCCCAACATGTTATAAACCCGAACAGGAGGCTGTAGGTTTGTTGTTGGGTCCTATGTGGTCCTACTGGGTTTCGTGGCCCTTCGGACCCAGGTGCCCATGTAGTATCCGGAAGATCACTTAGTTTGAGTTTAGGGTTTAGGGTTTAGGGTTACTTTGAGACCCCTTTTAAGGCCAAGGTGTATACTACATAATGCACCTCTCTTAAACCCTTCAGTAGGTGCATGGATCCCTGGGGCAGGGCTGTGGTGCTTCATGGATTGGGTTGTCTGAAATGTGATGAAGGTCGAAGGATGTCCAGCTCCACTTTTCGGCATTTTGTTCGGGGTACAGCAAAATCCAAGCAGACCCAGTGAGCATGCATAGTGGGGTGCTAGCGGTCTGCTTGGTATCATCAAGTATTCAGGTTTCCATAGCCAGGTTCCCCAGTGTCCCCTTAAAGCGGAAGGTGCTGCGTTTCCCTGCTATTCGTGTCTTACACTGAAAGAAGGGAGCATATTTGTACATATATATGTATGTATATATACATATGTATGTATGTGTGTATATATATATATATAGTAAGGGATGTAGTAGAACATCTGTCCCTAAATACAGCATGAAAATGTAATAAGGACTAGTTTGCGGCCAACGTATATACTATATAAGTACCTTCACAGAGCGAAACACAGGCTTCTGGAGGGAGGGCTGAGCAGGCCTGGAGTAGGCTTCGCAAATCTTGCAGATCTGCTTGCGCATCTTCACACTCCTCCACATCAATGAGACATCCCCAGCATAAACGGGGTGCGCCAAAAAGCAACAGCGAAGGCGGTTTAGCATTTAGGGTGTGCTTTCAGATTGTTCTGTTGTGCAGGTACATCGGCTACTCTATGCCGGCCTGAATCAGCTGATAAAGCCTGAATCTCGCATCTAGAGGTGGCGACACGATGTCACCACTCTTTTGATTCGATTTTGAAAAAAATGAAAAAGATCGCAGGCAGGAAGCCGCTCAACATCAGACCCGAAGGCCCCAAGCTCCGAAACAAACCCACAGGCCAAACCCCTACGGTCCATGTAAAGGGAACTCCAGAAAGTTGGAATATGGTTTCAGGGTAGGATACCTTATGATTTACCATAAAGGGTTTAGGATAATCATATTCCAACTTTCTTTCTTTTACTTTACCTACATAGCATGTACTCAGGCCCTACAGTACACGGCGGGTATATGCAGTATACTGTATGGGTACATGGACCTTTGGGGAAGATCAACCGAAACTATAAGGCTCAAGAAACCCAATAACATACTTCTGTGATCCTTTCAAAAGGGGGGCCACATGGGGGCGTAATTGTGTAGCCCAATTCTCCCTTGGTCTCCCATGTGCTTTTGTAAGGATTTGAAACCCATAGAACCCTGTGTAAATCAAGACAACTCATGGTAAAACGCCTCGGTACGACCAGTTGACCAGTTGTTAACAACGATGCAGCAGTAAAGTGCATTCCCTTACATTAGAAGCTGCCCCCACCCTGTAATAGTGACTATAAGGGTTATATAAGGGCCCTAGAATATTCCTATTATACCACTATTACAGGGTGGGGGCCCCTTCTAACCCTTACCTAAACCCTAAACCCCATAGATCCCTTTTAAGGAACCCTATAGATCCCTTTAAGGACCCCACTATTACAAGGTAAAGGCCCCTTCTAACCCTTACATGTGTGAGCACCTCAGTCCGTGGAGCCGTGAAGCCCACCATGTTCATACTCGGAGGGTCGGGGGACTTAGTAACTGGTCTAAGCGTATCCTATAAAGGGTTTAGGGTTTAGAGTTTTAGGGTTTAGGGTTTAGTAACTGGTTATTTTAAGGACTTATAAGTACCGTAACCCCAATTAGGGTCCCTTTTGGGGTACTTATAAGTCTACTTACTACCTACTTACTAAGTCCCCCGACCCTCCAAGTACAGACATAGCAGGCTTTCTGACAACCGTCAGTACGAAGCCAGCATCGGTGCTCCTGCTGCAGACTCAAACACTCGGCCTGAGACAGGGCTTCTTGCGTAGTGCTTGGGGCACAAATCCTTGAAGACCAAATGACCCCAAAAAATGAGGCACCCGTACCCGTAAAATGTGAATCCTTACATTGGTATATGAACCTTAAACAACTGTGGAATTCATTTCGTTCCTATGGGCAGTTTGCATGTCAAGACTGCGGCGGGCTCTGAACCCAGGTGGTATGGATCGTGAATTCCTGGTTCTTTCTTCAAACTTCAAGGTCAGAATCCCCCTAACACCCTCGTTTCACCTTTATACTGTTATATACTCGTCATCAAACCGCTTTTAAGCCCCTAGAAAAGCCTATCTTGCCTCCCTACAAGACTAAACAAGCCAAGAAAGCTCTACACAAACCGCAGGACCAAAAACCCTGAACCTTCGTAAGCCTTACACGTACACCCCAAAGCCCCTACCCTGAAACCGAAAACCCCTAAGACCCTTTACCCCAAACCCTCTAAACTCCTACCCTAAAACTAAACTACTGCCCCCAAAAAGCACCCAAGCAAAAATTAGGTTAGGGATATCCTCCCAAAAAAGCTTATGCTTATGTGCTTTTTGGGTCCCGTAATAAACACAATAATTAAGTTAAGGCATATTCCCTTATAAAGGGATATTGGGAACTCTGAGCACCCTAAACCCTTATAGATCCCTTTAAAGGACCCCCGAGAAATCCCTTTAAGGAAATAAGCCAAAACGGCGGCCCTGGCGGAGCCTGTAGCCGCCTTCTCTCGTTGACGCCACGCTCGTGGCGTTCGGACAGCTCCTTCCCAGACCGGTTTAGGGTTCTACTATTTGCTTAACAAGCCCCGAAAAATGAAAATAATAATCCCTATATTACCCCCATAAGGAACATACTTTTATTTTTTGGGGGTTCTTAAGCAAATAGTAGGGTTTAGGGAGACCCCCGGGAGGATCCAAAAAGTAGATCCCTTAATGGGGGTTCCTAGAAAGCCCTTAGTACCCTAAGGGTCCAGGTATCTCCCTAGGAGGGTCCGGAATCTCCTAGGGAGAGTCCTTGGGGCTCTTTGGGGTCTCAAAAAGCCTCAATCTTGAGGTTCCCCAATTTGTTAGGACCCTTAGGGTAGTATAGGGCCCCAAATCTATAGGGGATCTACTTTCTAGATCCTCCCGGGCGTCTGGGTTGTGGTGAAGGCTTGAACGGTTCCTCCTGGGGGGTTGGGGGTTCCGGGTTTAGGGTCATGGGTTTAGGGCTGAGGGGCCCAATTCCCTGAAAGGATCTACCATGGATCCGATGGGTAAGGGTTCCTGTTTAGGTTTGGGGTTCCGGGTTTACGGTTTAGGCTTTAAGGGTTCCTGCTTAGGGCTTAGAGTTCAACGTTTGCGGCTGCGGATCAACGATTCCGGTTTAGGGTTTAGGCTTTGAGGGTTCCTGTAAGGGTGCGATTCTTCACAGGCTCATTTAACCGTCCCTTTACTTCAAGGGTAATGATAGAAAGACATAGGGTTGCGGGCTTCAGGGTTTAAGGATAGCAGCTGTAAGATACAGCTGCCAGAAGTAGTTGTCTAGGGATGTAGGGTATGGTGTTTAGGTGCTTGGGGGCTTACTTTGAATAACTTGAATCATACAAAACTGTTTGGTCGCTCCCACCTGGGTGTTAATAGGGGTCTAGAAGGTGTTGATCTCAAGGGTTCGACTAGAGTTTCCGACAAAGTTCTACAGTGAAAAGGTCTCTCTGAGGGCATTTGGGAATATGTTTCAGCAACCAGAAAAGGGCTTCACCTGCAGTATCCTTAACTATGGCACTGCTGCATACTCTTTATTATATGGAAACGTCCATCGGCAGTAACTCTTTGAACTCTGCAGTAACAGTGCAAGTGCAAGAGTCTAAGGTGATGTTCCTCAACCTTTAACTCTAAATGTGGGCTTTGGGGCTTGAGGGTCTTAGAGTTTAAGGCCCGTCGAGTTTGGCGAGTTTGGGGTTTCGGGCTTAGAAATCAGAGGCTTTACGGTTGATGATATAAATCCAGCATGACCCATAATAGGGAATATACCATAAGTCCCATCTATTCCTTATTATGGGTAATGCAGGATTTATATCGTCAACCGTAGGACTCAGAAGTTAGGTTTACTCTGTTGTTTGGCATTATAAAGTCGAGGGTGGTTGGTCATGGTGTTGCGGGTTAAAGTATGTTTGCTCAGTTTGCTGGCCGAACCAAATGAGTTGGGATGTGTCGAAGACACAAAGTAAACCATTCAATCCCTATACAGCCCTCATGGAACCGTTTCTAAGAGCCCTTAGAGAGCCCTCACCGATTCTTCAACAAACTCTGTGCAGAAAATCCCAAGCCGTCCTTGAGTTCGTGCTCCTCCTGCCCAACCTTCCTGGCGACAAGGTTGGTCTAGAGCTCCGGCTTTCCACGGTTTAGGGTTTAGAGTTTACAGCTGCGGCTTTCCAGTCTTAGTCTAGGATACCCAGTAACCTAAGACAAAAAAAGGCCTCCCTTTTTGGTATTGGGTAACTTTATAAGGAACCTAGGACTACAAAAAAGGAATAAGGGTACTACTGGGCATCCTAGTAGTGCTTTTCGTCCTACCTTACATTCCGACACCAAAACAAAAAACAACTATACGACGTAAACCTGACCCTAATGAATCCTGAAAGCCTGAGTTATAAGCCCTACAGCCTAATGCCCTAAGGCTCCATGTACCCTTATAGTAGATACTTAGGCCTTAAAGGACCTATATAGGGACTACTTTGGGGCTTAAGTATCTACTATAAGGGTACATGGAGCCTTTGGGATGAAAACCTGAATCCTGAAACCTTTAATTAAACCCACCTGAAACCTAAACCAAACTGTGACCCCCAAACCCTACAAAGTACTATAACCATATCAAATTCCTATATTTCCGAATATGAAGGTTATGCCCCTTAATTAGAGGGTTTACACCCTTAAACCAATAGGTTTTGGGACCCCAGGAAACGCCCGGTCCTCCGCAGCTCCACGCAGAGCTCCCGCCAAGCGTCGCGGTGACGGGTCAGCCGGGAGATGGCTCCCTCGCGTCGATGGGTGTAGGGAGCTAAGGCTCCATGTACCCATATAGTAGGTACTTAGGCCTTAAAGGGGTCCCTATATGGATACTTTAAGGCCTAAGTACCTACTATATGGGTACATGGAGCCTTTGGGGGGGTCTACTTGGAGGTTCATGGGTAGTTATACGTGGACTTATAAGAAAGGTATCTTTACGAATAACCCATGTAAGGGGACTTTTTACCCCACTTATCACTATGCATGAACCTCCAAGCAGGCATCTTTTGCTTTTTTGAGGGCTCGTTCATCCCTAAACCCTAAACCCTAAACCCTAAACCCTAAACCACGAAGTCTCTGCGGGGTTGATTGCAGGACTCTAAGGGTCCCAGCAAGCGAATAGCAGGGTTTTATCAAAGGGGAAAAGGAGGGACCGCTAATGGGGACCCTTCCGCTATAATGGGCTATATAATGGGTATATACTAGCTATATTAAGGGTATATACCTAGAGGTCCTTATTAAGGGTCCCTCCTTTCCCCTTTGGTTTTAGGTCCACCTGGACCTTCTGGGGGTTTAGGTATCTATGTATCTATATACAGAGATTTTTGTTTCTAATGCGGGTTCCCATAAGGGGTAAGCAACAAATGTGCTTGTCTTGGAGATCGCCATAAAAGAAACCAGAGGCCCCCAAACTAACACAACTGCCCCAAACCCTGACCCTAAGGCTCCATGTACCCTTATAGTAGATACTTAGGCCTTAAAGGACCTATATAGGGACTACTTTGGGGCTTAAGTATCTACTATAAGGGTACATGGAGCCTTTGGGTCATAGTTATGAACGGTGAGAATTACGACGGCGGCAGAATCACGAACATGTAGACCTGATGTCATTTTAGCGGAACTATCGAAAGGATCAGCTGATCCCACTCACTACACTAAAACCCATGCACACCCTGAGCAAACTTTAAACCCTAACCCCTATCAAACTAGCAAGAGCAAGCTTGGATACGTGGCAACACGTATTTGCATATTGAAACATCGAACCCCCCAAGTAGATTATACTAGCTCGTAGTATGTTCTGGCATACACTAGTCGGCTATCAAAGACTATAGAAAAACAAATGTTTATAGAGTACTATGATAACACATTAGTTTTTGTATTTTATAGTATGCTGTGGGCTATTCTTGTATGTCCTAGCTTTTTATGGTAGGGTTTAGGGTTTCGAGTGCAGATGCTTAGCAGCCCGGTTAAGCTCTCAGCAACCATGATACAGCTCCAAACTCATACCTTCACCCAAAGGCTCCATGTACCTTTATAGTACGTAGCTACTTAGGCCTCAAAGGGGTCCCTATATAGGTACTTTCAAGCCTAAGTATATATACTATATGGGCACATGGAGCCTTAGGGTCACCAAAACTAAAACTTGAGGGCCTAAGCCGGGACGAAACCCCAAAACGGTCCAAACGTTGCACCGTAAACCCTTAACCCCAAACCCCTAAACCCCAAACCCTAAGCCACTATAGTACCCTTGTAGAGCCTTTAAGAAACCCTTATGGATCCCTTTAAAAGCCTTGTAGACCCTTTAAGAAACCCTTATGGATCCCTTTAAACTAGGATACCCAGTAACCTAAGAATAAAAAGGCCTCTCTTTTTGGTATTGGGTAACTTTATAAGGAACCTAGGACTACAAAAAGGGAATAAGGGTACTACTGGGCATCCTGGCTTAATCCCTGAACCAAAACTCACGACCCGGCCCGAGGCCTCTAAGGATGGGCGCTGCTCGGAGAGCCAAGCTTCCTCTAGCCGTTTAGGCGTTAGGGTTTAGGGTTTAGAGTTAGGGTTTAGAGTTCGGGCTTAGGGTTTAGAGATAGGGTTTAGAGTTCGGGGTTTAGGGTTTAGGGTTTAGAGTTAGGGTTTAGAGTTCGGGCTTAGGGTTTAGAGATAGGGTTTAGAGTTCGGGGTTTAGGGTTTAGGGTTTAGAGTTAGGGTTTAGAGTTCGGGCTTAGGGTTTAGAGATAGGGTTTAGAGTTCGGGGTTTAGGGTTTAGGGTTTAGAGTTCGGGCTTAGGGTGTAGAGTTAGGGTTTAGAGTTCGGGGTTTAGGGTTTAGGGTTTAGGGTTAGGGTTTAGAGTTCGGGCTTAGGGTTTAGAGTTAGGGTTTAGAGTTCGGGGTTTAGGGTTTAGAGTTAGGGTTTAGGGTTTCCCCTTTTTGTTTAAATCTGAGGGTTCAGGTTTCGGGTGTAAGGCCTAGGGTGTAGAGCTTGCAGTGGCTTCGAGATTGTAGTGTACAGTGTACCTAAAAGACCAGATGGCCCTTAAAAGTAGGGGCCCTGATCCAGATACTCTGAATCCCTATATGGTATATGAACCATCAACCCTTTTAGGGTTCTTTTCGTCCTCAGGGTAGAGTATTAAGGTTAGACCCTGCGGTGTAGGGCTTAGAGTTCGGATTTTGTACCTGTAGTCTCCCTTGTAGTTCCTTTTGCAGGTTAACAAGTCTTATGCTTAGGAGCCTGTAATAGAGATTTTGGTTCACCAAAAAAGGAAATACTATGGAGACTATAGCCCAAAGGCTCCATGAACCCTTATAGTAGATACTTAAGCCCCAAAGTAGTCCCTATATAGGTCCTTTAAGGCCTAAGTATCTACTATAAGGTACATGGAGCCTTAGGGTAGGTAGTTGCCAGTTTGGGGTTCAGAGGTTGTAGTTTGCGTTGCAGGGCTTGTGGCTCAGAGGTTGCAGTTTACGGTTTTGGGGATCAGTGTGTTAGAGGTTGCTGTAGGGTACATCTCAGGGCTTACAGCGCGTTATGGTTTAGGGGTTTACAGGGTTTTATGGCGTCGCAAAAAAGGTCTCAGTTGGCTTTCAAGGCCTTTGTGAAGGTGGGTTCCCAGGGTTTAGGGTTTAGGGTTTATAATATGTCTGACTTGATCCAGAGAACCCTGCGGTTTGGAGGTTACCTGAAGCTATCCAATAAGGGCTTATATGAGGGCTTCCTCAAATGTTCCTTTGGGGATCTCTTCAAGGGCGCTTCACAGGGTTCTATCATAAAACGGTGGCTACACTAAGGCTCCAAAGAGGGTCTTGGGCTTTCTGGAGCAGGGTTTCGGCTTTGGGGGCTAGGGTCCGGGATCTCACTACAAGGGTCCAGGAGCCTTAAGGTAGAATCTAGATGCGCCTTTCCTGCATCGCGGGCCTTTTTGTCGGAGTGGCCCTGCTTCCTCTTGCGCGTGGGCGCTGCCTTGAGGTTCTTTGCGTTTAGGGTTTAGGGTTTAGGGTTGAAAGAAGTCCATGACGGTGAGCCGGGAGCGGCCTTCCCCTAAGGGTCCATGTACCCAACTCGTATATACATCGGCCTTAAAGTACTCCCTATATAGGTACATTGGGCCCAAAGTATATGCTATGTGGGTACATGGACCCTTAGGGTTCGGCAAGGAGAAAGATCGTGTTCAAGTTGCACCAAAACATGGCGAAGAAGTGTGCATCCAAGCAGCCACTTTCATCTTGCTGGGGCGGAGGCAGGAGCTCTTCTACCCAGACCATGCATAATCCCTTAATTAAGGATTTTACTTTAAATCATACTATATTCCTTAATTCAGGGATTTTGGAAGGTCTGGGTATCCCGGCCACGTTGATGTTAGAACCATCCGCCTTCCTCAAAATGCGTCCACACATCTGGTCAAGGCATCCCGCACCGAAGGTGGTGCGCAGCTCCCTTCCATCGCTCGTCTCCTTTATTCTGTAATGTTCTATGCCCGTGGATCCGAACATCTACTGTTCTCGGGGCTAGACTGTTCCACCCTTTAGTCAATGAAAATGTCAATACGGCTTTGGAGTATATCTTGCTATAATCACCATAAAGAACTCTAAAATAGTATTGGAACCCCAAACATATGAGGCTTCTGTCTCCAAAATCCGAAAAGCACTGCAGCACCCGTATATATGTATATTGCCTTCTGGAGGAATCCGGGAACCCTGTCGTAAAACAGCCGAAATCTGAAACCCTAAACCCCGTAAGCCCTGAAACCCCAAACCCCTAAACCCCAAAGCCCTAAACCCTACTAAGCTACTAAAGTTGAAGTCATCGGAGCTCCTCCGTCATTCAGGGTATATCCCTTAAAGGGGTTTGATGGAACCCCAAAAAGGAAACGCTTTGGGAGATCATCTGAGCCCAACCCACAAAACCCCTAAACCCCAATACCTAAACCTCTAAACCCCTTTATAGCACCCTTACAGATCGCTTTAAATTTAAAGGAACTCTTATAGCTGTAAAGGAACCTGATATAGATCCCTTCAGCGGAATCCTCATATATAGATCCGTTTAAAGGAACCCCGATATCGATCCCTTTAAAGGAACCGTTATACATACATACGTTTGAAGGACCCCTTATATAGATCGCTTTAAAGAAACCATCATATAGCTTCCTTCAAAAGAACCCTCATATAGATCCCTTTAAAGGAACCCTCGTGTAGATCCCTTTAAAGGAGCCCTTATATAGATCCCTTTAAAGGAACCCTTCTATGGATTCCTTTAAATGAACCCTTATGGATCTGTTTAAAGGAACTTTTATGCATAATCCTTCAAAGTCGAAGTCATCGGAGCTCCTGGGCTTCCGCTTCTTTGGCGGCCGCCTCCTGCTTGGCTTTCTCGTGGCGCAAGCATTCCTGCAGAGTTTAAGGGATCTATAGGTTTAGGGGTCTTAGGACTCATATAGGGGTCCTTCAAAGGGATCTATAAGGGGTCCTTTACAGGGATCTATAAGGGGTCCTTTAAAGGGATCTGTGGGTTTAGGCATCTTAGGGCACATAGATTAAGGCTTTCGGGCCCAAAGACCATGCATACTATAGAAGGCCTTTGGGCTATATTGAGCCCTAGGGTTCGGGGGCGCCTTCATGTTCTCTCGATAAAAAAAAAGGCTCCTCAAAGGGTTCCTTTAAAAGCTTCCGAAAAGGGTTCCTTTATGGCCTCCTAACATCCTTTACAGGTAATGTCAAAGCCAGTGTCGTCGATGTACAAGTCGACGTGGCACTTCGGCGGACCTTTCCAAATGGGTTCCACCACTTCATGCATTATCAACTTTGACAGCCCTGGGGCTAGCGGACATCCGGCAATGATTCCTTTCGTGGCCACAATTGGCGCACTGATCATGTTTTCAGCACACAAGTGCCTCTTGCCACGGTAGACCTGCATGGCTCCATGCAGGAGAAGCGGCGGGTACTTGTGTTTGAATGCTGCTTTGACCAATGCAATGTGTGACACATTCTCATAGAATCCACGAAGGTCAAGAAGGAGCGTGATGCCTGTTTTCCCACTCTGCCGGTGCATCTCTGCCTTGATTAACTTATAGAGCCCTTTAAAGCGGAACCCGTCCATATGAGAGTTTCCGAAATATAGGGGTACCTTGTTGGGGGTTCCCTGTAATTAAAAAGGATCCTACCATTTAGGGTGGGCTATATTAGGGCCCCTTATGTTCGGAAACTCCCATATACACTACTGCTGCAGAATTAAAGCATCCCCCAAAACCATGATTCGACCGGTCTTTTGGGGGGCCTAATTCCATAGCCGTGGTATCTACTTGGAGGGTCGGGGGACTTAGTAAGGGCTGCTTAAAGGGATCTATAGGGTTCCTTAAAGGGATCTATGGGGTTTAGGGTTTAGGGTCTACTTGGAGGGTCGGGGGACTTAGTAACTGGTTAATTTAAGGACTTATAAGTATCATAACCCCAATGAGGGTCCCTTTTAGGGTACTTATCAGTCTACTTACTACCTACTTACCAAGTCCATGGACCCCCCAAGTATACACCCTCCTGGGAACTTCTGGCATCCCAGCAATGAGCCCCAACCCAAGGCTCAAAATGGAAAAAACGACTGTACAGACTTTGGCCTTCAAAAGCATCGAGTTCTCAGAATTCTTGATCCTCAGAGCCTTACCTGAACCCCAAATATCCTCCTACTTGTCGGGTATCATGGGGAACTACAGGTTAACCTTTCTAAATTGGTTATATAGGGATTATATCAGGACTAGACTACCCAAAAAAGGATAAAGGTTGCCTACTCTACTAATAGGTCCTACCTGTTAAAGGACTTAAACGGAAATCGGTATAAAGGAACCCTCACAACAGTAGGTTACTGAAATTGTCCGATCTCTTTGTTACTTGGCGAAGCATGAATACAGAATCTGGGTGCAAGTAGGGCTTGATGGGGCTTGGGGTTTGGATGTCTTACTTCCCCAATAAGCCGGGGAAAAAATGTTAAACTTTCAGATTACTACTAAAATATGCAAAACCCAAAAATTTCAACGGTTGGGTGTTGCAGAACTGAGAAGGTGCACCCAGCCGATCGCCCAGAGCGGTCCGCTTCCAGTTCGTCGACGCGTTCACGCATCGCTGCTACCTGACTTTCGCAAAGGCTCCATGTGCCCTTATAGTAGATACTTAAGCCCCAAAGTAGTCCCTATATAGGTCCTTTAAGGCCTAAGTATCTACTATATGGGTACATGGAGCCTTAGGGTTTTTCACCGACGGAAGTAGTCTGTTGGAGCTCCCTTCACACGAAACAAAAAAAACCAACGATAAGGTCCGAACATCCAGAAACATCCTGAGGAAGAGGGAAGCTGCGTACTGCATGGGAAAGGGGCTCCGTGGGGTCTCGGCTCTGCCTAGCATCTGGACTCGACTTCAGGAGGAACTCTAATAACTCAATCCGCACCAGAGGTACTGATACCCTCGGGATCAAAATAGCCCAAAAGCCTCATATAGTATGGTCTTCGGGCCAAAAGCTTTTATATAAGAGTCCTTAGATCCCTAGGGATAGGTTGTTCGGATAGCTCTGGCATTTTAGCGTTTATGGCAGAAGCACCTTGATAGTGACAGGGGCTGACGAAAACCCAAACTAAACACTCTCTGGCCTACCATTGCTTTTCGAGGGCCTTGTAATTGCGAAAGGAAAACATCAGAATGAACCCTAAAAGTTAGGCTTCATAGGGTTCTGGTAAACCCTACAGACATGCACATGGCCTCCTAAAGCCTCACGAAGCCTGGCTCCACTCTACGATAGCTTAAAATGACATAGCACCCATGCGTCAACCCCAAAATGCTCTAGGCGATGGACTTTGGGGCCAACAGCCTCTTATGTGACTCTGTCTAGAGCCTGAAGGCACGGTCTAAAGACACTACATGCAACACATGCCACAAAAAACAACTGGTCTGCAAACTCTCTCCAGAAAAGCCCTCGTGCCAAAGCATCTTTAATTTCAGTACCCTAGAGTACCCCTTATAAATGGGCCCGAATTCCCTTAGACCCTAAACCCTACACCCCTAAAAGAGGCAGAGTTTTGGAAATTCAAGCCCTATTCGGCTGAAGCTGGCCCGAAACGGTTGATGATATACATCCTGCATGACCCATAATAAGGAATATACCATGATTCCACAACTTAGGGTACTTATAAGGTGCTGCAGGATTTAGACCATCAACAGGAAGCACCTTTAATGCAACCCCTCGTGCCAAAGCATCTTTAACTGAGGCAGAGTTTCGGAAATTTAAGCCCTGTGCGGCTGAAGCTGGTCCAAAAGCACCTTTAATGCAGTCGTCGGGTCCAACTGCCTTAAGTTATGAGTATAGGAGTACCCTTCGAAACGTATTGCCTTTAATGGGGCCCCTGCTGTAAAAAAATGTTACAGCAGCTGCCTTAAGTTACGAGTGCATAGAAGGGCAGAGCTCAAGCAAAGACTGAACTGCTTCCAAACTTGGTAAAAGTTAGAGTTCCGAGCCGCCGGCACTAGAACACCGTTCAAGACCCCTCACCGCCCCTAAACCCTAAACTTAAACCCCAAATCTTAAGCCCTACATCCTAAACCTTAAGCCCTAAATCCTAACTTCTAAATCCTAACCCCAAACCCAAAACCTTAAGCCCTACATACGACAACCCTTCGAAACTTGCCTTTAAAAGGGCCCCCAAAAAAGCACATAAGCAAAAATGAGAATAGTGATATCCCATATAAATCCCCTCATAACGAGGCCGGATAAGGTAGGGATATCTCTGCAAAATGTATGCTGATGTGCTTTTCGGGTCCCTAATTTAAATCCCTCTTTCAGGGCCTGGTCTTCGAGAGCCGATCGGCGCGCCGAGGAGGCTGCGTCTTCCTGAAGTCTCGGTTTCATATCCCTACGGCTGTAAGGACTGATACGGTGGAGTACCCATAATAAGGAATCAGGAATACACCATATCTTGGCTGACTTCTGAACCCCTCCTACAATGTTGAACCTTTAGCCTCCTGAATATAGTTAATATAGAAACCCAAAAAAGTAAAGTCCTAAGAGCCAACCAGAAGAACGCCAAGATATAATTCCAACAGTCGACTACGGCTCTCATGACCCCCCAAAGTGCCCTTTAATAGAGCCCTTAGGGTACTTAAATCGTTGGTATTTAAAATATAAATAAAAGGGTGGTTCTAAACTGGGTTCTTGTGAGTGCGCCTCATTATAACATAATATAAGGCTTAAGCATCTTCCAGAAGGATGCAGGTTTTGGGTTTAGGGGTTTAGCGTGTGCAGGATTCCTTCAGGATTGGTTTGGGGCTTTACACGCTCTAGGTTCCGTATCCCTACGGCTCTGCGGACTCATATCTTGTTTAGGGTTTAGGGATTCTGATTCGGGTTTAGGGTTTAGGGATTAGGGTTTAGTATGACTCCTTGCCCTGAAGCTCTAAGAACTCTAAGGGTTCTATACGAGTGGTATACGGGCGCTCTGTATTCCTAGACCCCGCCACTGGCCCATGTTGAAGTTTGTCGGGGCCCTGCCTTGAAAACGACATGGACCCTAAAAGGGTTTAAGGTTCGTATACCAAAAAGGGGCTCATACCTTTAGGGATCATGTGCTACGTAAGGTGCCCGTAGAATTCCTTAACCAAGGAACGTATCTCCAGTCATAGAGGGTCTTTAACATATATATATATATACACGAAAAGACACACAGACGGACAGACAGACGGAAGCACACACATGAGTGCTCACGAACATTCATTTATATGTGTTCATTAATTTATATTTATACATATATACACATACATATACATATACATACACATACAGCCTTTAACCCTTAACACAAAACCTCAAACCGCCAAATCCTAAATCACAAACTCTACCTAGACGCTAGAAGACCTACCTGTGTATGTAACCAGATAAAGAAATGATAATAAGACAATCCTCATGATATAAAGAACACCCAGAATGGGTACTGTAGGTTTCTCAGGGTCCACGTAAGCCCCTCATAGAGACCCCTAGAAAGAGGCATATTACTATAAGGACCCCCCCCCAAAGAGGTATATCTCTTAGGGTTCAGGTAGGCCCCTGATGCACTGTTTCGCCTCAGCTAGGGAGGCGATATCCAGGAGAAGCTGTTCGCGCGCCTGAAAGGTTAGGAGCTTAATGTTTGAGCTTACCTTAAAAAAACATGTACCCAGGTAGCATATACTTTGGGCCCAATGTACCTATATAGGTAGTACTTTAAGGCCAATGTATTTACTATATGAGCACATGGACCCTTAAGGTTGGGGACCAGGGATTTCGGGGTTTAGAAGTTGTTTTGGGTTTGGGGCTTTGAGGTCAAAAGATGCCACAACCCCAGAATAAAAGGAGTTCTCGAAGTTGGGCTTTATGGGCGTTTCCGAAAATTTCGGGTACCTTATTTTTAGGGTCCTTATAATAAGGATCCTACTATTTGGGGTACCATATTACGGTCCCCTAATTTCGGAAACTGCCTTATAGTTTAAGGTAGTGTTGCTGCAGGGCTTGTGCAGTGGCTGGGTTCGTGGCTTTGTGGGTATGACGGGTTTGGGTGTAGGGTCTAGGACTTTTGGGCGGTACTGCTTAAGGCGAGATTCTGTGTGGGGCTAACCGGGCTTTCTATACCGCTCTGTGTAGGTGTTCATGGCGTCTACACTCAACGCTAAACCCTTAAACAGACAAGACTGAACAGGAAGCCCTCAAAGGAACCGTATGTTCAGGGAAGCCCTCGAGACTCGAAACCCCTAATAAAGTACGTACCCTTAAATTATGATCCAGGGACCCCCATTCTGAAACCCTATAGTACCGTTTAACGTGACGGCAACTCGTCGGCTTTGGGGTACCCACCTGCCTGGGCCTGGGACTTATCAGAACTGGGTTAATAATACAAGTTGTAGGGTTTATGGCTTGGGGTATAGGGTTTTAAGGTTGGAGGCTTTGTAGAGGGTTTAGGGAAAAGCTTAGGGACATCATCAGGTAACTATTAGAGATGTAACTAGTACTTGCTCCGTGGCAGGGAACCTTAAACCCTAGATCCTTCTGGTTTGGGCTTTAACGACTACCCGGGACCATTCTATAAGAGGGCTGCTATTAGGGTCCTATATGATAGATCTGTATTCTGAAAAGTAATTATCCAACTGTTGCTGAGTGGGAGGGGAATATCCAAGTGATACTGTTGATGGTATAAATCCTGCATTACCTTAAGCCCCCTAATCTATGGGAATTATGGTATATTCCTCCTTATTATGGGTACTGCAGGATCTATATCATCAACCGTAGCTTCTGTCATGATTTTCTCTTCACGTCGTGCACTAGCTTGAACATCGCCGGCTACTCGGATGGAGAGCTTCCAACCGAGCCGAAGTAGGGGAAAGCAGAGCCACGATTTAGGGTTTAGGGCTTTGGTGTAGGGTTTAAGGTTTGGGGTTTGGGGTTCAGGGGTTAGGGGTTTCGGGCTTAGGGGAAAAACCTCCACACCGAGATACGCATGCAACTGTCCTCACATCTCACGGTACGCGTTCAATTGTCTCATTCAGGATGTGGAAACGATCACAATGTGCTTGCTCGGATGGCGCTAGACTATCGCCCATGCTGCTGCGAGATTTGAGCGTATGTGTTTCGTGGAATCTCTGATCTGTTTCAGGTGCGAAGCCTTTGCCCAGTCAACATCACCTACCCTACATTCGGATACAGTATCCCAGCTGATTGTCTAACTTAGTAGACATCATTGCAGCTCAGCCTTTTGTCAACTCGCACAAGGGAGCCCGGGGAACTAACTCTGAGCGAACCCTGCAGGAACACTATCCTAAACCCGAAAAACCCTACAGCTCCAGAACCTTGAAAGCCTGAACCCTAACGCCCTCAAGCCCTAAATCCCTAAAACCTAAAGCCCTCAACCCTGAAACCCTGAACCCGAAAACCCCGCAAGAGCCCCTAAACATCTTCACAGCCTTCTGCCGCTGCCGGCGCTGTGCTATAGCCGCCTCTCCGGGGATCTAAGTCAGAGAAACTACCCTAAGGCTCCTGGACCCTCGTAGTGAAATCCCAAACCTTAGCCCCCAAAGCCCAAGCCCTTCCCCCAAAAAGCCCATGACCCCTTTGAGAGCCTTTGGGTAATCAAGCAAAATTAGGGTTTACCAGGACCCCCCAAGTATCCTTTAAATGCCTGCAACATTTCTCATTAAGAAGTGATAAAGGGTAGGGGGCGGAGGGCCTAGGTAGGGATAGGGATTTCGGCGTCTACGGGTTTTGATGTCTTGTCAATCAGGTGATTTTGAAGGGCTCATAGGGCTTCATGAGCAGTATCAAGGCTATGCAATAATGACTAGGGACTCTTGAATCACATCCAGGATGCCGCTACAATCGTTCAGGCTACATCCCCTGGTGGTAGGGTTTAGGAGCCGTACAAGTTACAGCCGGGGCACCTTTTGGTGAGGTCCTTCCTTGAGGATGTAGTCCTGGCGAGGCCACTTTATGCTTTGACAGGTCTGCGGCTCTACTTCTTGCCTGGTTCCTGAACTGCTTCGCCACTGGAGTGCTCTGCAGGGAGCTTCCACAAGCCGCAAACCGTGGCGGCGATGGCAATCTTGGAGTAAGGTGTCCAACACATGGTAGATGTGATGTGTGAGCATGGTCTGCTGCTTGGTCAAGCTGTCTTTGAAGACAGTAACTTCGTGCAGGCGGGATGTCCATCCGGCGGGCGCGACTGTCAAGGAAAACGGAAGGAAGGCATAGCCTTGTCTAAGCACTGATGTCACTCGAACTCGAGTCGACATATGTCCTCCATCCTCTGAACTTGGTGTTGCCAATAGACTTCGAACATGTCCATGTCAGATGCTATTGCTTCTGCCGCCATTTTCTTGGAAGCGGCAAGGCTTGCATCCTCAGGGAAAAGCTCAAGTGCTTTCTTTGTCCTGTCTATTCTGAAGCCCCAACAGAATCCATAAAACTGGGGTGGAATAGGCTTATATAGGTGTACAGTGGGGCAGTAAGGTGGCTGTCGAAAGCATTATGATGCCTGCTCATGCATTGCATGGGCAACCAGCTAGTGCGACAAACGCACGATATGACATGTGCGACCGTGATTGCGGTTGATGCTTTAAATCCTGCATTACCCATAACTAGGAATATAAGAATTAGGGTATATTCCTTATTATGGCTAATGCAGGATTTATATCATCAGCCGAATGCTGAACCCTTTCCGATCAGCTTCTTGAGTCTTTTTGGTTTGAATTCAGGCCCGATCGAAGTCCAGATCTTCCAAAAATACCCTGAAATATGGAGTTCTACGCCAGGGATCCTACCTGTATGTAGCCCTAAATGGTCCAAAGCACCAAATAACTAGGTACTCGGGTATGGGATAGTAGTTACGTAGGTTTCTATTTTGGAGAGTATATGATAAGTAGGTACCAAGGACCCTTGGGGCAGCATAAGGTCTACTCCTAAATTCAGGATATATCATGAGAAGATCTGTAAACCTATTAGACCAAACCCTCAATCGACCCTAGAGATTTGGACTTAGGATGTTCAGTGCCTGTGCGTGGAGAGTTCAAAACGGCGGGACAAATGCCGAAAACACGAAGGCCCTAGACGCGAAACACTAAAACCTGTGGACCCCAGAAAATAATCCCTGCCAGCGCCCTAACCTACCGAACTCTAAGCTTAGCCCTGCGGTACAAATTTAAACCAACCCCTCATTGTGACCCTAAAGTGCCCCTCATAAATAGTACCTAAACCCTAAACCCTAAACCCTAAACCCTAAACCTTAAACCGGTTACCTGCCAAGGATCCTGATGGTGTTCTCCAAGAGCCCAGCCTAAAGCCCAAACCCTAAACTTTAAGCCCCAAGCATTCTCCATTAATTGAACCTAAACCCTAAACCCTAAACCCTAAACGGTTCAGGGTTCTGGGCTTTGGTCAAAGCCCAGAACCCTAAACCCGACAGCGCTGTCACAGTACCCTTAAAGCACCCTTCAAGTACCCCTTAATCGAAAGGCCACACCTGCCGTGCTGCTGGCGAAGGCGGCTCGGGGCTGGCGACCCATTGGCCAAAGGCCAGATGGCCTAAAACGATTGCGATATAGGCTGGTGGGTTTAGGGGCTTATCGATTTAGTGTAGTCGTAATGCTGCCTACGAAGCAGGGGCTTACCAGTTTCAGGTTTACGGATTTTGGGGGTTTATGGGTTTACGCTTTACGGGTGTTGGGGTCCAGGGTTTCGGGTTTTGGATTCATACAGGGCTGGCTTAGCTATGTTTTGGCTTTTTCTGATTGGGGTTTACGAAACGGATCCAATTTAGGAGGGTTTACACTGTTTACACAGTGTTTACGGGGGCAAGGGATTAAAGGTTTTGGGGGTTGCTGTAAGCAGTAAGGGTTTGGGGGTGTAAGCGTGGGTTTCCGGGCCCTAAACCCTAAACCCCAAGCCCTATACCTTGAGCCCTCAACTCTAAACCCTAAACCTTACCAAATTGTACACCCAACTAGCAATGCCTGAAGGCCATGCGAGGATTCACATGCTCTGGACCGACGTCAAAGTACCCATGCAAGACCTAGGCCCAAAAGGTTTAGGGTTTAGGGGTTCAGGGGTTTAGTTTTCAGGGGCCTTTTCAAGGCAATACCCGGCTCTTATAATGGTGTTGTATAAGGGTTTGGGATTCAGGGGTGTATTTCTGGGTTTAGGGTTCGGATACTTGGACCCTAAAGAACCTACCTTATTCGGGTGCCTTCTTCTGATTTCCTTACACAAGCCCTTTCATAGGTAAGTCAGTTAGGGTCCAGGGAAGGCTTTGGCTCCCCAATACTGCCTAGACCCTGCATTGCAGTACCGATTTCTGCTGCTGAAGATCCTATGGTCAGAGACTAAGGTAACTCAAACGAGGTGCTACGATTCAGGGCCTACTTACACCCTGAAGACGTTGGTTACGGACAGCACTACCATTCGGGCACATGGACCCTTACAAGACCCCATAAATTCCTCTCGCGGCTCTTCTGCAAACCTTTAATTCCAAGGGTGAAAGGAGGGACCCTTAATAAGGACCCTTAGGTATATACCCTTAATATAGCTATTATATACCCATTATATAGCCCATTTTAGGGTAAGGGTCCCCATTAAGGGTCCCTGCTGTCCCCTTTGATTAATACTAGATCAGAACTATGGCCCTGAAGCTGCAATCCTAAACCCCGCAACCTGCCATAAGGGCTTTCTTTATTAGGTTAGGTTGTCTATAAAAAGTTCTATTGACAAATAGTCTACTCTATAGATAGGTATACGACCGATATATATACATATATATATATATATATACATAATATATATATATATATATATATGTATATTATATACATATATATGTATATTATATATACATACATATATATATACACATATATATAAACATGTATATGTATAAAATATACATACATATATATATATATATATATATATATATATGTGTGTGCACATACATACATAACTGAGTATATCTGTAAATACGTTTGGAGGAAACTAAACGACGCTTGCAACTACATATATATATATATATATATGAGTTAATAAACAGTTATGAAGATATTATATACCCTAAGGCTCCTGGACCCTCGTAGTAAGATCCCAAACCTTAGCCCCCAAAGCCCAAACCCTTCCCCCAGAAAGCCCATGACCTTTTTGGGAGCCTTAGGGTATATATATATATATATATATATATATATATATATATATAATATAGTATGCCCCAAGAAGGCGTGCAAGAACTCGCCTGTCGACCGCTGGCGAGGGACAGCCGGCGCCATCCGATGAAGGGCTTCGAATCCCTAAAAACTTATACACACTGGGGTTCCTTCAACGGGTTCCTTTAAGGGTTCTATATGGGTTCTTTTAAGGGTTCCTTCAAGGGTTCTATAAAGGTTACTAGATCGGCTTAGGGTTTCGGTTGTAACTTGTATACACTGGGCTTCCTTCAAAGGGGTTCTTTAAATGGTTCTATAAAGATTACTAAAAGGGCTTAGGTTTGAGGTTCTAAATACAGGCTTGACGAGACTACGGAGACCGCAACATCAACACTGTAGGGTATGGGGTCGTTTAGGGCTTGGGCTTAGAGACTCGGGTCTTACCGCTAAGAAACCATCTACAGCTTTCAAGCCAAGCCACATGTTCCACACACGAATAATGGTTTAGCATGTGCACTCTACAGCTCTACTCTAGTGTCGAGATACTGAAACCTGGTAGAAATACCAATCCAAGTTTCAATGGCCCATATCTGACAAACCAAATTGCCGAGAAGCTTCAAGCTCTGGTCAAGTTTGATGATGATCACCTTCAACCCGGAAAGCGAAAATCAAAGTTGACCAGAAACCCTAAATCGTACATCTTAACACTCAAACCTGAAACGCTCAACCCCAAAAGCCCTATGCACAGCCTAAACCTCAATGAAGGATCTCTATAGAACCCGCCAACGAATGCATAACGGAACAATAAACCCAACACCACAGCATCGAAGGGCCATGAAAGCCAACACTTCCCAAATCCCCGCGTTCCCAACAGCTTGCTATATGGAGGTATGGAGGAAATCCTGTATCTGCAAGCGAGCTCTGTACATTACAGTCATTACACGTTCCGTGCCGTATATTCGGGCGTTACATTTAGCAGCTGGGGTCTTTCATGATAGGAATCCTGTCCCGCCAGTCTTTACAACAAGGATCCCATTGCTTGGAGGAGGGTTTACCTTAACCCCAAGTAACCTACCTTTCCAAGGACTCATATACAGAAATCATATGAGGGAACCCTGGAAAGGCAGGTTCCTTAGGGTCCAGGTAGGGTCTAGGGTTTAGGATGTTTCTGGACCCCGCCCTCTCTGAATCCGAGGAAAGCCTTATGGAACCTTCCTTTGGGCAGTATACAACACTAAAGCAACACATAGACAAGTCACTGAATCTGACTATCTCAGTTCCTAAGTAGCCGTTTATGATAAGGGTACCCTCTTTCCTACTGTTCGTTTTTAGCCAGGGAGACCCTCAAACACAACGGGCAAAAGGGCACTACTCAGGAACCTAGTGGCTCCATATATAATACCATCAGGTCCCTCAACCCCTGATAAGGATGGTCTTTTGGAGCAGAATTCCGTTATGGTACTACAGATGGAGCCTCTGGGGAACCTAGTAGACCCTAAGCCCCTAAAGATCCCTTATAGGACCCTTTAAGGATCCCTTATCAAACCCTTTAAGGAAACCTTTAAAAATAGATCTTCACAAACCCCGCCCTCCTCGCTTTTACTCCTGCGCACTCGATGGTTTGGCTGGTTTGACCTTGGCTTAAGGAGGCTTGCTTTTGCTTTTTCAAGCGGCCAGGGTTCCTTGTTCAGGCGCTATCGGAATAAGGCCACCTTCTAGGGTTTAGCGTATGCTTCTGTGCCATGCAGGTCTTTTTGGAAACTTCTTCGTCGACAGCTCTCCTCTGTGTTATACTGAGGCTTGCTTTTGGATAGATGTTGACGGCACTCTTTTGCTTGATTACCCTGTGTGTGGAAGCTGTTTCTTCGTAGGCCGTTGTGAGGCTATTACATGTTGCTTCTTGGCAAGACCTACTGTTGAGGGCTCTCTTAGGTGTCATACTGAGTGTTTCTGATGCAGGAAACCCTTTCTATCCTTTGCTTTCGTATTGACGTTCTTTCACAGACCTGCCTTGCCCTCTTTTGGCTTCTTAGGGAGGTATCAGGGGCTTCTGCATAGGATCTCTGGCAAAGGTCTCCGATGTAGTATTCACGGCTACGGGTGGTTCAAGGTTTCGGGTTTACGGTTGGGCGGCAGCGTCGAGGGTCCAGGATCTCAGGTTGTTACTTGGAGGGGCAGGGGACCTAGTATGCAGGTTAGTAAAGTTACAAGTAACCTAAATGGAGTTGCCCCAATTAAATAAAACCCTACTTTTAGCCGCCTACTTACTAAGTCCACTGCCCCACTCAGTATACCCTAAACCCGAAACCCCATAGATCCCTTGAAGGAACCCTCTAGATCCCTTTGAGGAGCCCTTTAAGAACCCTTACTAAGTCCCGAAAGCCCCTTCCAAGTAGGGTCTGGAACTGCGCACTGTTTCGCTTCGGTACTGCCGTCCAGGATTTCCCAGACCCCCGGAAGGATCCAAAAAGTAGATTCCTTAATGGGGGTTCCTATAAAGTGCCCTGAGTAGTATACGGCCCCAAAATAGGGGATCTACTTTCTAGATCCTCCCGGTGGTCTGGGCTAGGGCTAAGCGAGCGGGATTGCGGGTTAGGGTCGGGAGCTAGGAATTACCTATACTATCGTTGGGGTTCCTTATTATAATTAGAGTATAATCGGCCCCAAAACCCTCCTATAATGATTAAGTCGTTGGAGGCTGTCTAGTTGCGGACCAAGATCTCGTTGAAGCAATACTGCACATAGACTATATACAACCTTCGTTTGCTCATGAAGGGAAAGAAACATACCACAGACCCCATGGTTTCCGGTACTGATAAGCAAGATTTTGTCAAAGGCACCAAGTATGCCTCTTAGATACCCCCCGGAAAACATCCAGAGTATGGGACTACGGACCTAAGCCCCTGCTGTTGGGTTTAAGGTTTTGGGTACTTGGAACCTGCGGGCTTTTGTCCATGAGCAGGAAGACTCAGAGGGCATGAGGACTGGGTTTTGACCGACCTGCGAAACCATAAACCCTAAACCCCAAACCCCCTTAAAACCTAAATGAACACCTTCCTTGAAATTTCACTTTAAAGGGACCCAAAAACAACTTTTAACGGCGCCAGAACAGCAAGTACCCTTCAGGGAACCCTTAAAGGAACCCTAAATAACCTTTAAAGGAAGCCCCTGAGGAACCCTTAAAGGAGCCCCTTCAGGGAACCCTTAAAGGAACTGCTAGGGAGCCGGGTGCCCTAAACTGAACCAGCTGCGCGGTCGGAGGTGAAAACCACGCCGACCAAAGTGACCAGGAGGATGGCGACCGGAACCTGACAGGGGGCCCCTCTCCGGGATCCATATAGGGCTCCTTAAAGGGATCTATAAGGGGATACTTAAAGGGCTCCATCCATAAGGGGATTCTCAAAAACATCCTTAAACGGCTCCTTAGAGGGAGCGATAAGGGGATCGATAAAGAGAGGATGGCGACCGGCGTTTAGGGTCCATCTTGAAGTGCGCTATGAGATTCTATATAAGTCGCGTCCCCCTTGAAGGGTACTCTGAGTTCTACCCTAGGGCTCCCAAAGGGGTCATGTGCTTTCTGGGGGAGGGTTTGGGCTGCGGGGGCCCAAGGGTTCGGGATTTCACTACGAGGGTCCAGGAGCCTTAGGGTAGACCAATGGTCGTCGCTGTCTGGCCAGATGAATGCAACTGTTTGGTTGTCAAAATTATGGTTCCTTTTTATTTTTGGGTCCCTATTATAATACGGCACCTATTATTGGGTGTACTCAAAAACGGGCCCTAATTTTGACAACCACCCAATTGTGTAACGCCTTGGCGCCTAAACCCTGAAAATTGCATGCAGAACCTTGGTTGCAGGACCCTGAGTGCAGCCACTGAACAGATGCCTGCACCTTTACAGAACCCCTACATTTACGTACTAAAGGCAGCTACCCTAAACCCTCAACCACACCAAGCCCTAAAAGCCTAAACCCAAGACCTTTGTCGGACAGCTGCATTAGGGAATGAAAACTAAACCCTCAACCACCCTGAAACCCTGAAAGCCTAAACCCTACACCAACGGAACCCTCACAAGCCCAACAAAAGGCAAGAGCGGCCTCCCATCGGTCCAGGTGCTCCTCCGTGGAAAGCATCGTTCCCCATCTCGGAGGGAGTAGGGCTGTTTTGGGTTTATAGGGGTTTAGGGTTTATAGGGTTTAGGTTTCAGGGTTTATTGGGGTTCAGGGTTTAGGGTTCAGGGTTGCCGTTCTAGGTCTTCAGGTGATGAAGCTTAGGGATGTTTAGGGGGGCTAAGGGCGGGGTTCTGTAGTTTGGGGGGTTTGAGATGTAGGTTTTTTTACGTTCAAAGGACCTACTCGTCAGGTGCTGAGGTTTAGGATGGCAGTGTTGTCTTGGTTCTTTGGCCAGTGTCCATGATGATTTGGTAACTGCTCAGTGTCGCCGGCTCCTCTCAGTTAAGCTTTTTAAAGGTCTGAGTGTCGACCGCTTGAACCTCTGATGTTAGGTGGGAGGGGGGGGTGCACCAATTCCAAGCAAAAGAACCCGTCAACCCGTTCTTGCGACAGGGAACAGAGCAACATGCAAAGTCTCAACGCGACTCGAAATCCGTGCAGCCGCGGCACGGCCAGGGTGCCGTGCTGTTTGTGAGGTTGGCCTCCATCTTTGGAGATGACAGGGTTGCAAGGCTTAGGAAAGGTTTAGGGCTGAAAAGGATTTAAGGCTTATAGGGATTAGGGTTCCATAGGGTTGAGGGCTAATTAGGTTGGTGGGTTTAGGGTTCTTCGGTACAGGAGACGTCAGAGGCCCCTAAACAAAAACGTCTCAAGCTAATGTTCCAGTGTCAGTGCGGGAGTGGGGGGGGGGGGGGGGGGCAGGTCTCAATGAATAGGTGCTTTCTTGGCCCTTACTTTAGGCAGGCCATAGAGCACCAGAGGCTTTTGATAAGGAGCGATAGACTTAAGTACTTTAGGAGCCTTAAAAATAGAACAGGGTTTGGGTGGGCCCTTTCTACTATAAAATAAATAAGGAACCCCACAATATTATAGGTAGTGAATACGGCCCCTATTGTAGTTTGATAGACTTAGTTTCTCCAAACCCTTAACCCAATGTTCTAGACAAAGGGGAAA